ATGCGCGTCGGAGCATCAGTTAGTGAAGCCTAAATGTAACTTAAGAGGATACAAGAAAATTATAAACATCATCAAGCACCTTGATCATGTTGGCCGTCTGTTCCGGAGCAAGCTTTTTGGAAGACTTTTGTTTTTCGGCAATATAACATATCTACAAAGAAACAAATGCTAGAAATATCAACACACTTGCAGTTATGATAGCACCAATACCTCGACAGGAAGTATTATAGGCTTTTTAGCGCTTCCGCATACCACGCACGGCATACAAGGAAACTGAAGTTCCTTGTACTTTTCTTTGAAATATTGCGCAACTGTTAATTTTCCATTCTCTCCATCAAAGTATTCGTTTGCAGCGGAAATGACGACATCCCTCACTTTCGTATGCCGTCGAATTTTCCCCCGATGTGTATCATAAACCGTCAGCCCTTAAAGTGTTACAGCGCGCTTACAAACAGGATATTTGACAAAAGACCGATATACAAATATGGTGCAGCAGGAGCAAACCGTATGAAATAAACAGAACTGAGCTGCAGCTTCATTTTCATTCAGGGAACATGATTTCCATTATTCAGGAAGTTAGGAGTGCACTTCACATAGACCAAAGGCACAACTCATATTGGAACTCACGGAGAATCATTTAAGAATCAATCATTAACCTACATAAACTCTGAAGAATGTGAAAAACCGTGGAAACGCGCGTGAATGAAAAAGCAGTCTGGCAGCCATGCCGGTGGTCAGGTTATACCCTAGCTCCTAACCACCGAGGAAAACCACAGTTCTGAAGTAAAAGTTCCTAAAACTTAATGACCTCTTCACAAATACTTCTACTTGATTTAATGCTGTAAATGCGAACCTTTAATATTCTTTCTAAAAATGCTTAGCTCTTGCGGGTTTAACGAAGACCTGCGATCTAATCGATTCACGTCAAAATCGGTACGGAAATCGGTTGATAGTACTTCCGCCATGAAATACAGGACTGGTTGTGATTTAAAGAACGCTGCATGAGTCACTATAACAAAAGAAAGGTTAAAATTATGGAACTGTAAAAATATCGGCTAACATACCGTCAATATTGACCAGTGGGCGAAATGCGTTTGCGATGTGACAGGATGTGAACAAACCATGCCAAACTTCTTTGCCTCCCCCCAAACTGAACGTTCCTCCTCCCTTTGGAATTTGGTAAGCAACATTTCGGAATGGAAAAAAGGAATCTGCCGCCCTAAAAGAAAATTCAACTTCAAAAAATAACAAGATCGAAATTGGTAGTTAGTTTCTTACGGAGAAATTGGGCAAGACCTTCCCTGAGTCATAATGATATCCAAAGCTTGTATTGGCAGCATCGATCTGTCGCATATTTCCATCGGACGCGCAAGTTTGAAATTCATGTATACTTCCATTACATACTTAAATTCGATCTGCAACTCTACTTCACTGCGTCCGCGTGGAATCATGGTTACCAGAGTAAACTAAAATTAAAAATTCTAATAAAATATTGACAATCATTTATATACCTGTGATTTAGATTCCTGCAGTTCAATCTTATCAACGGTGAACATGATCGCGTCTCCATCAAAAGCGACAGCAAAAGGTTTCGGAAACACATCGGGAGTATTCTGAACCGTCTCCCAGAAATAGCGGCGTTTGTCAACTCTAAGATTAAAATAATTTCAACTCAGGCAAATACTAAAGGCCACATTCTGTCAATTACAGATACTTACGGAGTCAGTCGAAACGTCGTATCCGCGAACTGTACACTATACTGATGAATACGCATTTGACCTTTGGTCTTCTTCGAGATTGCAAAATGGTTTGTTTCCAACTTAACTGGGCGGCCAGCCGTACCAAATCCTGGTCGAGATTTCAGTTCATTCTGATATGTTCAGAAACAAAATATACCCCTGTTTTTATCATTCAAAAACGAAATGAAAAAGTACAAATAAATTCAAACTGTACATACTTTTAATTTTAAAAAATTTAAAAACTTTCTTATTAGGATATCAGAATGAATTGGGATATTTCTGCTGCTTCTCTACGTTGAAAGCTGTGACAGTTTTCGAACGTTCTGTGCATGTGTCCATCAAGGAAGCGGATACAACTACTACTTGCTCAACTGACCGGATGAAAACCCTGAACAAGGTCAAGTGACGTGGGCAAGTGTCTTGAAGGACTCTGCCCTAGATTCAGGTTAGCTTCTGCGGAAGCTCAAACGATGAAACATAATCAGCAACGTCAGAGACGCGGTCTAACATGTCTGCATCCGTGATTAGAAAGCATAGCATTTTCGATTCATCGAAAGTTGTTTTCACAACTGAGTCTGCCAACCTTCAGCCATGGTTCTAGGTCAATAAATATGGTGTCGAAAACTCACTGCAGCACCTTCTTCTTAATGAAACAATAACAGCAAAAGAAGGCCCATAGTTTCAGCATGCTATTTTGCCAAACCGATGTTTCGGTAACACAAAGCTAATTACAATCGGATTAACGACAAAATTAACTGATGTAACATAAACAGACAATGGCAAATAACAGAGTATAAGTAAAAATCTGCGATATTTGTTTGGGCTGCAACAGTATGCTGACTGTGCAAAGTATGGCCGTGCGGATTATAATAGTGATGTCTTCAGAAATATGTAAAAATGTGCCTAATTTCATTCTTTAATAATTCATCTAAATCCTAAATGATAAAGAACTCATTACTGATAACACAGATGTATTACGAAATTTAATTATCTATTTGAACAAGTTTGTTTGTAAAGACAAAACAGTCTCATGCCCAATAGAAACAATCTCGAAAATGTCTAAGTGCCGGCAATTTTGGCGCGATGCGATAACCATCATATCGTAAAAAAGTACGAGATGTTTTAACATTTCCATTTAACGTTGCTGTTGACTTTCAGTCATACAACAGCAAAAAATACCAGCAAAATCAAAGAACAGTAAGTTTTTCTCCTGGATCATATATGTATATTTTCAAACTCAACAAGTCCATTACGAGATTACACCGCATATCATATATGTACAAGTTCTCCATCGTTTCAGATCATGGTCATCCCGTGCTTAGGGAGCGACATCGTAGAAATATGTGCGGTATCTATTCCAAAAATATGTTCGGACAACCGTATATACACATACATATTTAATGGAGGGTTTACTAGAGAATTACCGTTGACACTTTCAAAACAAATCTTTATATTTCCTATTAGACTAACGAAATTTAACCGAAGAACAAAACGGAACAATACAAAAGAAAAAGAACCCCCATATTGTGGAACAGCCTCTCAGAGTGGCAGTTTTCGATACCATGGTTGCATAAACGACGTAATCAATAGTGATGTCGGACTGAAACGGCAAAAATGTATAAGGGAACGAAGAAAACTGAATTTTTGCTTTACACTGATACTCGGGTAGTGTAAGATAGATGGAAGTCTTACCGGACCATTGCGCCGACACGACCCGTTGCTTGCTATCATACTCAGGCCTAAATAGATGAGCCACTGTTCGTAAGCAAACAATCAAAGTTAATAAAGCAACCCAGATTTTTTGCGATAAATTCCCAGAGTGGTCGTTTTCGATACCGCCGTCGCAAAAATCATACTAACAATAGTCATAACGGATTGAAAATGTGAAAACACACAGTTTCAAGAAGAAAAAACAGCGGCTAATATGTTTGGGCTTGATTATGCTTTTTCAATTCAACTACAAGACACGGTTATGCGTCCTATCGACTGCATGTGCATAAATACCATGGAACCATGGCTTGTTTAAATGGACCCCTAGGGGACTAGATTCTGGGCACTAATAATACTAATCGAATACTTCCATCTAAATAATTCATCACGTTTATGATTCTAGCTATCCATCATAGTTACATACATGGATGTATCAACCATTCATGGTTCAGGGCAACAAATGCAGCAGATGGTAAACAGCTTAATGTCAACGCGTTCCAGAGGACAGATCACAGCATCATCCTGTCTGGACTGAGTATAATTGACTGTTTGAAGGCATCTTCATCTTCCATCGCCGCTTCTCCTTTCGGGTCGCGGAGGCAGACGCGTCAGACAGTGCTTCCAA